TGTGTTTCTTTTTTTCAAAATTACATTAGTTCAATTTATTAAAGTTGTTTTTATGCTTCTCTATAAATTAATTTCTTATATCTATGAAGACGTGTTGGTAAAAGGCGCGTATTATCTTAAAAAGTAATGAAAATCATGAAAAAATTTAAAAAAGGAAAGAAAAGATAAATATATGATTAAGATTATTTCTTAATTAATATTTTATTTTATATCAGATTGCACTGGAATAAATTCCAAATCTAATATATAGCAATCATTATTGATTAAAAAATTGAAGATTGACTATTGAATTTATTTATAGCATAAATCGGAAAAAAATTATTTTTATAAAAAAAAATAGTAATAGAAAAAATTTCTCTTGAAACTATCGATGCATGGTTTTAACTCATTAAACAATATAATAATAATTCATAGAATATTTTAAATGTTTATATAAATATATAAGAAAGATTATATTTATCGCTAAATTTTATCTTGATTTTCGACTGCCATATATGTCGGACCATTGAAAAAGCGGGGCGTCCCACATCAGAGAGATCGACACGCTGGATTTATTACGTTTCCAACTTTAAGAGGGAACTTATCTATCGGTAGCGCGACTTTAACCGAGTTCAGGATGAGTTCGAGAGTCAGAGCGGGACAGATATACCTGAGAACTCAATCCATGCCACGCGTGATTCAACTCGCCTGGACGGAACTTCGCCAATTTATTGACCGAGAATTCCATGAAAGATAAAACAAGTGTACCGGACGAATCGTCGCGAAGTAATAAGTCACACCATCAGATATACGAACTTCCGACGAGAGGCTACGCCGTGTATTCGACTAGATCAGCTCTTCATATATGTAGCTCTCTCGTATCGTGATATTACCGTCGCATCTATTATATGTATAGCGTGTTTTAAAAACAATGCAGAATATTAATACATTAATAGCATTATTGTTTTTGAAACTTGACGTTAATTTTTTACACTTCAATATTTTATAACAAATTTCTCAAATTTGGCATAAACTTCTTGGCGCCACAATTTCCTTGTGTATAGCAAACTTTAAACAATATTTTAACAAATTTAAAAAATATTATTAGAATATAATACTTATATTACAATATTGTCACGTCAGCATCTTTGGTTTTATCACCAAACTTCTAACAATGTATATTCAACGAGTAGTGAATATATTATTTGCAGCCGCCTGGATAACATGTGTTATGCGATAAAACAAGTTACACACACTTGAACCTTACTACTTGGAGGCATCTCGAGTCACTTTGACGTTAAGCAGCTTAAACGGCTGATACATCCGTGTTCGCCGTTCCGTACATCGGATTAGCTGCACCTAAGGGCTCCTTGTTCCTACGCGCTGTAAATTGGAATCTGTTCTCTATTACTGTACTGACTCTCAGTATCCGACACAATTTCTCCTTGGCTGTAGTGAGTGGCAAGCACGAGTGTGAGTAGTTCAGAGACAAAGCCATATACGACGGAAATCGTGAAATGAGTAATCTTAAACAGAGAGATGCAGAGTATTGTGTGTCTCTGCCTAGAGAATAGAGAGCAATATTAATATGTTTGAAGTAATATTTTTATCAGGGATACCAATATACATGAGATATAATATAAATTAAAATTAATCAAAAGTCGAATTGGTTTCAATTTAATTCGAGAAGATATTAATATCCAAACATGTCAGAAACATGTATAATTCTAATTTTTAAATATAAATCTGAAAGTTATTCCCTTTTAAAATAATATATGTAGTGAAAATTATACACATACACGCATACTTTATCTATATATGTATATGTCAGATTTGCGTAGTAACAATATTAAATTATTTATTTTTATTATATATATATATATATATATATATATATATATATATCAGGTGATTGCATAAGTTCGTGCCCGATTTAAATATAAACTTCAATAGATTGAACTCCGCCATGCAGTAACTTAATGCCATCTATGAAAATCGGGCACGAACTTATGCAATCATCCAATATATGTATACATAACTTAACAAGTGTGTTAATTCAATATCGTTACTATTTCAAACGTAAGCACAAGTTGAGCAAAGTAATTATCCTGGCAAGTATGCCGCCCGACGTTGATACGCAACTGAACTGAGAATTATTCGTGTAATCTACATCATCGTAATATTCCGCAAACTGGAATCGATTATTTGCCACGTTGAACTTCCATTAACTCCAGCCGACTGTGTTTATGTATCTGACAGTTGTAACGTGAGTGCAATTAGATGCACATTGAACCAGCCGTAATTTTCTGAGTTTCTCTGTTTCGTTAAAATTATCTTACTTTGCGCGCTAGATGGATCGAAAAATAATATAGATTATGCAACATTTACATTACAAATATTGTCGCGTTTATTGTATTTGTCCTCTTGGCTTAAACCGTTATACGTGATAAAAATAGTTGTACATTTTGTTGAAATTATCTTTTGTTAGTCATCATCTTTTCTCATAAAAAACAAATGCCAATTTACATTATTTCAAAGTAACGACGAATTAATGTCAAATTTGCATGTTGTACACAAACTTTTAAGAAGCAAAATCGTTTCTTACTCCGTACAAAATACCATCGTACACTATCGATCTAGAACAGCGTAAACACTATGTAGGAGACAGTAGGAAACGAGAGATAGATACGCCAGCAGGTCACAAAGAAACTAATCTCCAATATAGCGTAATGTAAAACTGATGGCCCCTTTTCGAAGTGAAGGAAAAAAAACGACCTGTCGGAATACGGTCAGCGCATCTTTTGCATCACAAACAGAGATCTCTCAGTGAACTTTGGCTGAATCTCATCTAAACCTCGTAAAAGATTTTCAGTAAGACATGAACGACAAAGAGATATCGCTTTAAGCATGACTTATATGACTCTAAGGTAAAATTTAAAGTCTTGTTAAGATAAACTGTTCAAATCCTCTTGATGAAAAAAGAAAGATCTATCTAACATTTTTTTTTTTTTAATGTATTTAATTGTAATTTTTTACGCTTTTTGGGTAAATATTTCTTAATTTTAAGGACTTCTTGTATATATATGAAATAGATTTTAGATACGTCAGATTCTAAATAGATACAGATAACAAGATAAAATATTTAACTTCAATATTTTATGCACTGTGATATTTTAGAAAAATGGAATTACTTTATGATTAAAAATAGAAAGCAGGAGGTAAGTAGTGAAACGCAATGCTTCTTTTTGATTATGTCGGTATCAAAAAGATGCCGTGAAAATTTCTTAGCTCTCCCTAGTTCCGACGTCGTATTCGAAACATCAACGACATCCGCGTGATATGATGCTGATAATACTCTAGCAACACGAATGGAGCTGCGAGAATTTTCTTGAAGCTGAACGCTCGAGATTATTTAGAGCTGAGAAATTTTTCATATTCGTGTCACAAATCATCAATTAATATATATATAATTTTTTTTAATACCAATTTTCTTTATATACCAATTAATAATATAATATTTTTCTCTTTTGATAATATAATATTTAATGAAATGTATACAATTCTCTCTAATTTTATAATAAAACTGGATATAAATGGTTTTAATGAACATCAAGTCAAGAATTGTTAAACTATTAAAGAAATTAATTAAATTTTCGAATCAATTCATAATCCTAAAATGCTGCAAATGCGACAACGCATTTCCGCACGCATCTGAATTTGCAATTATTATAAATAAACTCGTCGTCAATCATTAACGGATATTATGCTTTAATTAATTCTACCATAACGTTGGCTGTATATATAATTTATCGGTATTATAATATTATTCATATCGAGCTTTGTGTAATCCGATGTAATCCGATGGATGGGACGCTTTTCAGAGTTAGTAATGTTGTAACGTGTCGAAAGTTGGTCGTTTCCCGTAAAACCGACGTTTTACCTTGAATGTCCTTTTTATCGCTTGGCAAAGCTGAGCTACGCATCTTCTTCAAATTCGACACATCCATTTTGCCGCTCATGTGATAGAATCGAGACGCGGTTCTATGACTCGCGGGATGACAGCTCGGCAAGAATGCGCCCGGTCATCGTGATGTGATATAAAATCTGAACCGGCAACCATGACGAGGAGAATCCACTAGGTTGAAAAGTGAACAGTCGTGATATGTGACTTATCGATCGGACATCGCCGAGGTGCAGCTTCGTCGTTTTTCACGGCGCTCCTTTATGCAGATGATGCATCGATGCGTCTTGCAAATCGGGAAGGGATGCTTGCCGTTAAAAACTACTATTTATCAAAAAATATAAAGAGAATGGTGCGAATGATCGAATGCTGTGCGAATTTAAAATATGAAAATGTTTTATAAAAGATGTACCGCGAACGCTAAAATATTACAAAGCCTTGGTTGTAAAAAATGGATAAATATTGTTCATTCTGCAATTATAAATGTATGAAATAGACCGTGTTTTTGTATGAATATCCACAAATGGATACGAACATTTTCTCATCAGGCGTGACTATTATAAAATCGCTCGTAAGTAATCGGTCGTATTTTATCAATTATCGATGCTTTTAATCGAACGCCGCTGCAACAGCAATAACGCCGTTATCGGTGGCTCACCATCAATTTTTTTCAACTTAATCACGCACCTTTTATTACATCGCGATATGGCTTTATCGAGCAGTTCGGCGCAACACGTGTAAACTCGCGTAAACGAGCGCTCGACGATTAAAACTGTCTCTCGCCGATTTATTTCTCCCTCACGTCGCTGTTTTATGTTTGTGTTTCGTCGCGTCCTGTAAAATTTCCGTTCGCTCTTCGTGGCGTAAAATCTCTTCGAATCGCTATGAATTTATACAAGCGCGAGAGCGTGATCGTCGTAGCGTATTCAATGCGTATTCTTGTTTCCAAGCTCTTTAAATTCTCTAGAGCGTATCTTTAATATTTGCATTTCTTTAATTGGTATTCTTGAGGTTCTTCCTTGCATCATTATATTTATCGCAAAATCACTTTCTGTTACAGAAGCGCGAGCCAGAATAATCGGTCCGCCAGATATCTACGTGAAGACCGGAAGCCTTTTGACATTGACATGTCTAATGTCGCAAGGTCCTCACGATCTGGGGACGGTAGCCTGGTTTCAGGGTAGTCAGGCGGTAGTGACGTCACCGCGATCAGAAAATGACATCGAGGCGGAACCACGCATAACCGTCGAGACGGAATGGAGTGATGCTCTCACATCGAGGTATGAATAAATAAATCGCTTAATTATATTTAAAGGATTTTTTATTTAATAACTTATTCATTGCCATTAACCGGTTTTAATGCGAGATATAATTTGCTGGTATAATGAGATAATCGAGTCTTTTTTTTTATAATATGTAAATGTTCATGTGTACGGTAATCTCTCTCGCGAGATACAGAGAGAAAAAAGCGAGTGTATATATTTTAAATAACTTATTCTTTAAATATCAAAAACTCGGTTTACGCGAAACTCTCGTTTGCGCGCTATGAACGAAATAAAAATAAAAAATAAAAAAAAAAAAACTTGTCACGCTTGTCGCACACCCAGAGTCATCATTTCCGCACGGAGCAAACTCTCATAAACGTGCAAGCTCGCATGTGATATTGTTATACGAAGTGCTATTTAATTTTTTACACCGGCTCCAGTCGGGCACAAGAGGACGTCGACTAAATAAAAAATGAAAATTGCACGCGCGCCATATATTTGCGGCGCTTACATTTTAACGCAGTTTAAATATTTCAATTTTTGTCGCAACATTCCCACAGCGCATTTTAAAAACCGGTTCCTATGTACAATACAACCGAGTGCGTGTCGCTCCAAACGACATGCACACCGCAATTTCGTAAAATTGTTCGTTCAAGGACTTGGTGTGATAATAAGTTCATGCGACAGTGAAGTAAATTCGATCAACGAGCAGTTAAAAAATGTCACCTATAGTGTTAAAGTATTAAATCCTATTCAGTTATTTTTTTTTCCGTGATCTGATTACACGTGGCAAATATTCGGAATTGGTTTCAACCAATATTCTTCGGCTTTTCGTTCAAGTGTTCTTTCCCTTTTTTCCCTCGAAGGTTCCTTCGTTGAATCGTCCATCGCGTGTACAATATTTCATCGCACACGGTGTACCATATCTTTTTCGAGTCGCCGCCAGCGAAATAAATAAATGGCCCTCCGCTTATCCCCCCTCGCGTCCAGAGGAAATAATGAGAAATAATGGCGCGCTGGGTTGTCCCGCCGGTCCTACACGTCGTCCTGGCTCTTTGAAAAACTGATCCTAGGCTCAAATTAATTTATTTCATGATACCCGCGATTCTACGGGACCGCCTTAAAAACGCACAATATGCACACTGTCAACGTATTCACAGGTAACAACGGTGACAAAATATTTATTCCATCATTAACGCTCAACGATATAAAAATGATAATTTATTTTGGATATTTAGATACAAATATTACTATCTCAAATCTATTTAAATATATGTATATATAAATCGATTTTTTTATAATTTCATTTCTAAATATTAAGTATGAGTATCATTCAACATACAAAACATACTTCTCGAAATATTCATAAGATACAAATATTCCAGAAAATGTATAAAATTATGTATTGATGATAATTAAGCGCAGACATAAATATTTAAAATTGCGTATCGCTGGTGCTTTACACGCTCGTTTATTCGCCTCATCTTTATTCGGGATAAAAATTATTCGAATGGGAAATCAGATGAATTTCAGGGATCAGGACGCCGTGGCGCCGCGCGCGTGTGACGTCTGATTATTCTAATTGTTCGAGGCAGCGTCGAGACAAACAGGGCCCTTTGTCACGTGGCCCGCGCACCGTGAAGACGCATCGGACATGCCTCGCATTTCGGGCGAGCTGGCTGTTTAGTCGGGCCACTTATACGTGTCGGGCCAAATATTGCGCCGTCGCCGCCGTTGTGTCCGTCGCGCGTCCGTTTTTGGACGTGATTGACGATTGTCACGACGACGCCCGCGTTATACATCGCGACGACAAATTTACGAGGCCGCGGCTCAAGAAGCGAATTAATTGCCGCGCAGCTGCCTGGCCCGCGACTTCCGTCGTGCACACGTCCGCTCTCAGTAAATCTGACAGAACTGTCTGAAAGTAACGCGGTCACAGTCGAAATATTCTCACGGAAATGTCACAAGGTTGCCAGTAAATTTTCATATGAGCATATATTCATTCACAATAGACATAATCAGCTTCAAAATAGTTAAGAAAATCTTCTTCGATCACACATTCTGGCGCTAATCATACGTGTCTGTAATCTAAACATTATATTATCTCGCGAAAAACCTTCTTGTAAACATTGAAATTAATTTCTTGAAATTAATTTATTTTTTATGCAAATTTAAAAAAAAACTTGAAAATTTTAAAAGAATAAAATTCTGGACTATACGAGAGATTTATCTAAGCATTATATTATCCGTAATAATATTGCCACGGTATAATTCAGGACGTAAATATAATACATTATTCTCCTTTATAAAGAGATCGAGATATTCAATTTTCGAGTTAAGCGCGAGAGTTAATCTACGAGGTCGATTTTCAAGTCCAAGAGTCCCGCACGAATAAATCGTCCGAGCTTTCGATAATGTGCAACCGGATATCGTTTTATTCCGTCACATCGAGATTACCTTCCCTTCCGCCCCTGGACCAAGGTGGTATGTTCGATGTCGAGAAGCTTAGTCTCCGGCGCCGCTATACGTTTTCATTATCCCGGGACTCCATCGGGTCTGCTATAACCCGTCGCGCCGGCATCGCAATAATTATTTCGCGAAACATTTGGTTCACGCGAATGCGGTAACCGCATATGCGGGACAGCGTTACGTAACCTTAAGCGGCTATTATTAGTCCCACGAGTGCGATGCATTACGACGTTACACGATGAAGCTAACTACTGAAATACGGGAAGTAAATGAGTAATCGATAATCTATTGGGAGCAGCGCAACTTCTTCGCGTGACGTTATACATCGTGTAATGGAAGCCCTATTGTGCGGCCACCAATCTATATACAGAGCCGGCAAAACTATGTATCGCTATCTTAGCGCTTCTTATCTAGAAATGACAATTATGGCACGCAAACATTAAAGAGAGAGAGAGAGAGAGAGAGAGAGACATACTAGTGGAAATAATTATCGAAACGCGGGTGAAGTAGATATTCTCTCCTAATCGATAAACTGTTGGAGATTAATTAAAACTTTTCATGAGAAACCTTTATCTCTTTCTCTTTTCGAGTAAAAGATACTGAGAAAGACGCGTTAAGGTAAATTTTTTCAACACTTCTTTCGTCTTAGCAATGTTTGGATTGAAAGTTTGGCAAAAATAACTATTGAATTCAAAACCGTAAAAATGGCAGAAAACTTTCAAATAACTTTTTTATTTGTTTAACAGTATCGCGGAAAAATTCCCTTTTGATACGAATCGTTCGTAACATGTTCAAACTATTTTTACAGTTAGTTTCCCGTTAAATTGACCGACTGATTAACTTTTACGCGATCAACTTTATCTCTCTAGATTTATTAACGTGTTTTCATGTCAAATCGGAAATTTTTCTCTGTATCGCGTTTGAAACCAATTTAATGCCCATATTTGAGGACTTGTGCTTTTACCGCACCTGCAAAAACTTTCGGATACGCGATACGCCCCGAGAATTCAAGCCCATGTTCCGATTTCTATATCTATTGGTCTGATCAAATCGATTTACTGCAGTTCATAACGGTAACGAGTGTCGAGCAAATAGAATGGAAAACGAAGAGGAAAAAAAGAAACACTTCGCTTCCTGTTCCCCGATTATTACAGTCGAACGAGTTGGTCGAAGTTTGGTCGGACGCGATGTAAACTCCGAACGAGAAAAAGGGATCACTATTATGTAATACGGCTGTAAAAAATGATCAATATTTAGACGTTTGCGACAAGCAAAATATCATAAGATATTTCGATGATAAAATTAAAAATCTTAATCTTGTAATGATTCTATCATAATCATTAAATTAATAATAACTATTTTATAACACAATATTTCATAATATTTAATATATATATATATATATATTTACTTATCGCGTTAAAAGCTGCTGACGGTCATGTCTCATAATTTTTTTTGCATGAAGATATTTTCAAATTTTATTCTATTTAAGTCAATATACTTCGTAATTTTATTTTTGGGATACTCAATTTTTGTATGTATTTATTATTGCATATCTTCATTATTTGTGTATGATCGCCAACTACAATAGGAATACCTTCAAATCATATTAGATTGCGTAACACGATCCAATTTGCATTTCATAGATACCTTCGACAAAAGTATGCACGATGCATTACGCAGAGACGGGTAATTGGATCGCTGCCGTTAGTAACGTCGTTGGATAATTATCACTGAAATAACGATACTTTATTGTTAGTTGCATCATTAGTTATTTTATATGATCCTGTACTTTATACTGTCCTGACGAAACTATATCCCATTAACGTGTACGGCATGAGAACGATTTTGCGGAACACATACACGGCGCGATAACGATCTCGTTGTAAATTATGAATGCCTTTGAAAATTCCACAAAAGTATGAAATTTTTTCATGATATATGCTAATTATAAAATAAAAAGTATAATAATTTAGAACGTTATGCATGAAAGTTTTCCTGGCAGTCTGCATTTAATTATGTGAATAGCGGAATGATATATTAAATTATATATTATATCGAACTCGTGCATCGAAATATTTATATCTGCATTAATTTTATTTATCACACTTTATGTTTTTAATTTTTTAATAATCATATTTTTATATTTTCATGAATCTTCATGAGAAAGATTTTTTTTCAGTAATGTATGCGAGAGGAAGGTGAAAACTCCTCACAGAGCAAGTCTCAAAGAGTTGCTTTCATATTTAGCATCTTTAACGACCAAGTAGTAATTTTCTGGCTTCATATACATCACTCGTCTCTTTATTATACGCTTTTCCTTGATATAAATTATTTTTTTCTTTATTTTAAATCACATTTTTTAAATAAGTCCACATGCATTATATAAATAAACTTCATAAAAAAATGAAATTAAAAATAAAGTTATTTTATCTAGATGTCCGATATTTATTACTAAAAAATACACAGAATTAATTTACAACGTGTACGAAAATGATGCATCATAGAATGCAAGTAGCCACTGTTTAAATATTTTTTCCTTTGAAAACAACATTTGTATTTAATTGAAATAGCGCGATGTTTATCGTAGTTCGGAAAAAATTCCAAGTTTTGCAATATCTTTATATCGCATTTACCATGATTGTCTTAAATATTTAACGCACACATTACAATTGCAAATACGCACAATGCGATTTACATGACGTACAATTTAACGATGAATTATTACATTTTGTGTTGCAGATTGAGGATCACGTATTTGAAACCCGGTGATTCCGGAAACTACAGTTGCGTTCCTACCGTGGCGGAGAGAGCGAGTGTCAACGTACACGTGATCAATGGTAAGTCCGTCAGAAATGCCATAACTGATCCACGCGACAAGATAATCTCTATACATACGTCGATCACTTATCCCCCAGGGGGATTGCTATGATACATATATACCCGGCCTTTATTTATCACAGTGCATTAACTCTTTCACGCATGGAATATCCCTTTGTTGACGATTTAATCTTCTCGCACGCGTGCTTGCAGGAAATTAAAATTAAAACGATACTCCTGACTGGAAAATCCGAAGTAAATTTTAATTCACGATTGTTATTACATTCGTGTAAAATCACCGCAATCCACCTATCAATTTGATTCAATAATAAACCGCATTTTTTATTTCATGGATTCGAAAGCAAGTTTTATTTTATATTTTATTTCTTCTTTTACTGTTCCTTTTTCGTATTAAAGTCACAGAAATTACGAAAAAAAACTAAAAAAAGATTAGCTAAAAAATTTATAAGATATTCGAGTTATATAAGATTTCAATTATAATATAATGTGAGTCTTACTTATTTTAACAAAATTATTTTATTATATATTTGTGAATTTATTAGCGATGAACACGTGCAATTACATCGCAAAAGAAATCAAAAATTGTAGTTTATTCTGGAAAAACAGATGATTTAATAGATGCATAAATCATACACGAGGCACATTGTCAGCTTTATTGTCTGGCATAGCTCTGGTGTGTTTTTCGCTAGAATTTTTCCGCCTTACGTGGTCGTCTGACAACGTATAGAAATAGCTCGATATCGCCAACGGCGCCGCGTTTTCTGCTCGGGTCCACGAAAAAGCGTAATATCCAGTGGGAGAAAGATTCGCAAAGATGAAAGGCAGAACGTGCAGGCCGCTTGAAAGGCGCAGGGTATACTCTGGTGACCTCGTAAGTGATCGAACTCGAATTACAGTCGACCACAAGAAAATCCTACCGGGTATTCGCGGCTTTCATTTAACTCCGTGGCTGAGAAAATGACGATCAATTATAGTTATCAATAGCATGATATTTGGTTTTATTGGGAAGACTATTGTTTGTTAATACTTTTGTATTTTTTCAATTTAATTGTTTAGACGCTTATGTAATTATTTGAAGATTTGCATAAATTTTACATAAAACATTGAATTAATAACCAAATATAAATACTGTGTTTCAGAGAATGTAAAACGTAAAGAAAACTCGATTTTTTATATTTTTTGTTATATTTATTATGCTATTATATCTGCTTACATTTTTCATATTAACGTAATTTCATATTTATTTTCTTACAATTAGTTTTTGCCGAATAAGTCAGGTAATTAAATACTATTGAAAAGGATTTTTGAAAAATTATCATTTGACATATGTATCGAGATAGAGAATTTTCGTCAAACCCATGTATAGCTTAGCAATAAAAAGCGTAAATAAAAAAAAAAATGGAAGAGAGATTGCGATAAAATAGGCCTATAATTTATAGGAAGCTAGACCAGTTACGCTTGATGTACCACATTACCGCCGACTATTATTATCTTTCTTTTGTTATACTGGCTTTACCGAAACATAATTCAATTCCGCATCGAAGCTCGACCCATCCAACTTCCACCCGTCTTTTCAACGATGGTACGATTTCACCCAACTGTAGGTATTTCCGAAGGAAACTGCTCTCGAGTAGCAGGGCACGTGCGTGCAGATATTTTTCCGTAATGAGCCACCAACGTGCTCGGTGATTATTTTGTGTCTTTTATTGTAAATTTCAAGGACGGAATTCTTTTTTTCGATGCTATGTGAAATGCGGCTTTACCAGCTGCATTTAAAGCGGATAACGTTAAATAACGAAACCGCAATTAATTTCGCTGATATGTTTAAAATTTTATTGCGTCAAAAGACTTACGCACGTTTCCTCTCAATGATAATTAATACCACAAACGAATTAAAATATTAACAAGGAAATTAATTATAATAATCAAGCGATATGCATATATAATATATCGTGTTAATGAAATTGCATAATGAGATAGAGAATATGAAATATATAGTACTATATACATTGGAAATTTATTTGTCCTTTTCAAGAATTATTTAAAAAAAAATTGCGGAATTGCAATCTAATTACTGAATGAGTCATAAAGATATTATATGGCAATCTCATATATTCTGTTTCAAATGCATCGCGCGGCTATGCAGGGCAATCGGAAATTTACGGCATTGCCGACTCGTTAAACAAACGTATTTCAACGGGCGCAACTCGAAATGACCAAAACCATGCAACACGCGTGTTTTACATTAATGCGAGCGTAATTAATGCGCTGACATCTTTGTTGCGCGCGCTCGCGATTTCGGAGATGTAATATATAAACCATTTTACCGCCTAAAGGCTACTATAAGATCTATAATTTGCGATAAAATTCAAGACATAATTCTATTTATAAATTTTATATGTCGTGTAATACAGAAAATATTTAAATATATAAAATGCATACAAATCAAAATATATTTCAGGTATACATATACATATATATATATATATACATTAAATCATGTAACGCATAAAATTATATACTTATTCTATTAAAGAGATAAGATATTTATATTGCTTACTTGTAAGATATATATGAATCGAAAATTAGAAAAATATTTATAAAATTTTTTACATTTTAACGCACTTTGCGAGCTTCTGATTGAGAATCGCTGCTTTTCGCGGTATAGCGTGCATACAATTTTCTATACATTTTGTGTGGCACTAGATGAGCTCTTAGATGCACGTGTGCGTTTTATCAGAACCCGATTACTCAAGCAAAAAAAAAAGAGCATAATAACCCCCTTTTTGCATTTCACTTGTCTGCAGTTGAACGTGAATTATATGTACTCGTTAAATCTCTCGTATTTGCACCTTTATTCGCAGGATGAAAATTTTTATCGTGCGATTTTTATTGCGCATTGAATATTTTATACGAGCATAATAGCATTCGCTGGTTTCAATTGATTTCTGCTAAAATTTTACTTCCTCATTTTCAATCTCGGCTATGAGTAAATTTTAAATGTAGTTGAAGAATTTATATAATTGGAACGAAGTAAAATAATATTTTATTTTTTTGTTATTTTAATATATGTTATTTTAAATATTTTTATAAGCTTGATCAAAATTATATATAAAAAGATTAATCATTTAAAGAACGACATAAAAAAAATTATATTTATGTCTTTACATACAATTACATGCAACATTACATATTTTTCTATATATTTCATTTTATGCTCCTTAGATTTACAAGAAAATGTTGCGCTTTTTAAATATTTATAATGGAATAATTTAATTTGCGATTAAAACTTCGTCACTGTTACGAACGAGGTATGTAATTATTTGAATCCTTATATAAAATTTTGCAAATTCCCAAAATGTTAATATAACTGAGTTTTTCTGAAGATATTATTTTTATTTTCTAGACATATATCGCGCGAATTTATGCAAAATGTGTTGCGCGTTTAATGATTTTTGCGTAAAAACGCCACCTGCCGCTGAAGCGAGATTAGCATGAAATTCAGTTATATGAAAATTTACGAATGTGCCACGCCCGCACGGAATAATTCGCGAATTTGTTCGAACGTTATAAGATGCGTTCAGAATGCAAACGCGCCAAGTTTGTTGTTGACATGATAAATAATTAGATGAAAGGAAAGGGGGCTTTTTTTATTGGATGTAATTGATGTTTTCGACAAAAGCGATAACTGTAAATATATTCGTCGCATTTGAAAACGCCAGTTCCATTCATCATCTATGCAATATGCAATATTCAAGACAGATAATATCTTTTAAATATACAAATATAGAATCGCAAATGATAATTTGATTAACTTTGCTATTTTAATGTGATATAGAGAATCTCTTTTTTTAATATTTATTATATGAAAATCTTACATAAAATAATGCATCTATTTTTTAATACTACATATACAACATAAAAACATGTAAATTTCGAGTCGATCATTGTAATAAATTATACACTTTGTTTTGTAAATTGGCAAACGATAATGGAACTTTCTGATATACATGAAAACACAGCGAAATAATGATATCCATTTTCCAATCGCACGATCGTCCAATCGATTTTTGACGTGCTTGATAATTTTTATCGACGAAAGTTAATTAGTTCAAGCAGAGTCGATTGAAGCGGCTCTCGTTACGGCGCAAAATTCTTTAATTACTCGCACGAGCGAGGTCGACAGATTAGCGGATCAACAGATTCTCGTTTGATATACTCGTACATTTTGTGATTACAAGTACGGCTGTCGATCGAAGATTGTCATCAATCCATCGACGAGTACGTTGCATGTCAATCCATCGAATGAACTTTTAATGCATTGCTCGTTCCGTTTCGTATAATTATCGATCACTTCGATCACGTCAAATGCATAATATTTTAACGATACGCATGCGGACGAAAAGTATGCAAATAAATTCGATTCACGTGAGAATGAAGGATTAACGCATCATCGATCCGAGTTTTGCTGCAACCGGTGTAAATTGAGTCTTTTTTGCGAAAACGATGCGATGATTATAGATCGTCGATCGTTGAATCATTATCTTTGAACAAGTATATAATGTATGGGACGGATTATTAACAAGCGCGAGAATTCTACTTAATTACATTACATGCGTCTAGAGAAATTATTTATGCGTTTATAATTAACTCGAGTATTCACGCTTGTTGACAAGAAAGCGTTTTTCGTGACGAATCACAAGTAAAAAAGAAAAGCACGATGATCTCAATTTTTTGGTGGAATAACTTTAGTGGACGTAATTTCTTCACGGGACATACATGTGACATAATTGAATGGAGTTTCGCGTGCACATCGCCGTATTCGTCGCGTTAACTCCCGTAAATTTAGATTATCCGGATTATATGGACTGACGCGTCCAACACACACTCTCCGTTCCTCTTCGGTTGACAAACTTATTGCGAATACATTGCGAGTGTCGTGTGCGATTGACTGTCGACTGCTTTCGAATTGGCGCACAAGCTGGTTAATTGCGTTCGT